TATTTGTTCAATATCCTGTCGATCCGGTCTGTAGTTCCTTTGACGTAAGGGAGAATGGTTAGGGTCCTGTCGTCTGTTTGTGTGTTCGGAGCCGTTGTCTTGTTTGTGTGTTTGTTGATTATTTTGGTTATGTCTTTTTTGTCGTGTCCGTTATTTTGTAGGGCCTGTTTTAGGTGGTTTATTTCTGTCCGTAGATGTCCTCTGTCGGAGATGGCGAAGGCTCTGTGTACCAGAGAGTTTATTACTGATTGTTTTTGTGCTGGGTGGTGATGTGATTCAGCATATAAGTATCTGTCCGTATGTGTTGTTTTTCTGTACACTTGATGCCCTAGGATGCCATTGGCCTCCTTTGACACCAGCACATCTAGGAATGGGAGTTTCCCGTTTTCCTCTATGTCCATGGTGAAATGGATATTGGGGTGTTGTTTGTTGAGGTGGATGAGGAATTTTCGGAGTTCAGATCTGCCGTGTCTCCATATCACAAATGTGTCGTCTACGTACCGGAACCAGACTTCTGGTTTCTTTGGTGCTTTTCTGAGAGCCTCTTTCCATGAAGATGTTAGCGATTACAGGAGAAATCGGAGAGCCCATAGCTGCTCCTGACGTTTGTTCGTAGAAATGGTTGTCGTAGGAGAAGTACGTGGTCGTTAGGCAGTGCTCTATTAGTGGCATGAGGTCGGAGGAGATTTTTTGTGAGGTTTTTATTATGTTAATCGTATCTTTTATTGGGACTTGTGTAAACAGGGATTCTACGTCGAAGCTAACGAGTAGATCTGTGGGCTGTAGTCGGATTTTTTGGATTTTATGTATGGTGATGGAGGAATCAGATATGGAATTAGCTTTGGAAAATATACCGGTTCCTCAGATACAGGAGCCAATAGCTGATACAGTTAAACGTAACAACAAGCCAGGCGAAGTCCATTGAGTTAGTTATGTGTGATTCTGTTTTTCCAGTCAGAGGTTGTAGTGTTTTTGCTAGGAAGCGGGATAGGTTAAATGTCGGGGATTTTATGCTAACAATTGGTCTAAGAGGGACGTTGGGTTTGTGTATTTTTGGTAGTCCGTATCGCTAACATCTTCATGGAATACTTCGAGAAAGAGTCTCTCAGAAAAGCACCAAAGAAACCAGAAGTCTGGTTCCGGTACGTAGACGACACATTTGTGATATGGAGACACGGCAGATCTGAACTCCGAAAATTCCTCATCCACCTCAACAAACAACACCCCAATATCCATTTCACCATGGACATAGAGGAAAACGGGAAACTCCCATTCCTAGATGTGCTGGTGTCAAAGGAGGCCAATGGCATCCTAGGGCATCAAGTGTACAGAAAAACAACACACACGGACAGATACTTATATGCTGAGTCACACCACCACCCAGCACAAAAACAATCAGTAATAAACTCTCTGGTACACAGAGCCTTCGCCATCTCCGACAGAGGACATCTACGGACAGAAATAAACCACCTAAAACAGGCCCTACAAAATAACGGACACGACAAAAAAGACATAACCAAAATAATCAACA